TTCCTTGCCCTGGCTGGCTTGAACCACAATCCTTAGATCTCAGCCTCCTAAGTAGCTAGGATTACAGGCATAAGCCACCACATCCAAATAGACTTTTCAAAGAGAAGAATTAAAGAACTTAGCACATTTACAAGTCCAAGATGTTGGTGCCCTAGGCTCTTCCTCATGTTTTTCTGTTTCTGTCCAGAATTTTAGCTAACTTCTTCTGTCTGAAGTTTGTATTTTAAGGTTAATGGGCAGTTACAATTTTGATATGGAATATCTGCCCCCCCCCCCCGCAAAGGCTCAAGCGTTGAAAGCAGGATCTCTGATGGCACAACTGGGAGGTGGTGGAGGCTCTAGAAGGTGGGGTAGCTGGAAGGAAGGGGTCACTGCGCCTTTGGAATATTTTATTCCAGTGCCCTCAATTTTCTCTATTTCCCAGACACAAACCATGAAGTAAGTAGCTTTTCTATTATTTTTTTATGCTGTTACTGTCCCATGACAAGCCCCTAAAACAATAGTGTCAACCAATCATGGACTAAAACCATGAGCCAAAAATAACAGGGTGGTTTTTTGGCACACAGAGGTGCATCTCAGTGGTAAAGTACCTCCTAAAATGTTCAAAGCCCTAGATTTGGATCTTAAGGGGGAAAAAAAGAAAAAGGCAGTAAAGTTTGTATTTTAAAACACAGAAGAGTCTTCTTTTAACTAGTAAGTTTAAAGGAAATTTGCAGGTATACATATAACCAATCATACAAGTTAATAAACAATTACCTCATCTTTAGGAAAATATGGTCTGATAGTATAAACTTTGGAGGTAGGAGTCAGTGGGGGTGGCTGAAAAAAGAGATCATTTGCCCCATCAATTGGCAGCAAACGCTGTAGGAAGAAAAAGAGGGATATGAATTAGTACAAGGAAAATAACTATTTCTTTAAATGAGTGTGCACTGCAGATTACCAACTTAACATTAACTGGCTACTGCAGGCAGACCTAAAGAAGAGGGGTATACTATGCTTTACTATATAAACACTTCTTTGCTGGGAATGGGGAATGCTTCTGAATAGAAATTACCCAAACTAAGTAACACACTGAATATTATTAAGAGTTTAAATTTACAATAAAAGCAACAACAAAAAAAAAACTATTCCAATTATGGCATATCTTTTTTTTTTTTTAATCAATCTTAAATAGACCATCTTTCTACTACAAGATGGCAGAACAGAATGTCAGGAGGAGAGGTTTGGTCTGAAGAGGGTTATCTGTCCAGGAGACGCTTTATCCCCAAAGCAATGCGCTTCAGTTTGCTGTGCGCAGCAGAGCACCTGTTGGGGGGAGAAAAGTAGAGTACCTGAAAAGTCCATGAACAAATTCCACAGCAAAAGAACACTTCATATTTGTTCATATTTCCACTAACAGATGACTCTTTCAAGCACATATTGATATAATAACTGGAAAAATGTCCAAAAACCCTTTATTAATTTGCATAATATAATTAGTCATCTTTTTTTGCTCATGGAGTTTCCACTGGCAGACAAGCATGCGCGCATTGTGCATTGCGGGCGCAGATTTAAATGCTGTGCGACCTGCAAAGAAACAATGTGAAGTGTATACCTAGAGCCGCTGCGCTGCGCAGGCGCGGGGGGATTGGCAGCATCTCCTTCAGAAATTACTGTGAAAGAGGAGGAAAATTTGATTTAAAATCCAGCAATGTAACTAAATTAAATTTGGGACTAGAGAGCCTTCGGCAGACCAATCCTTCCAGCCATCTGATGCGCAACATAAGGTTTCTCATAAAACAAAGAAAATGTCAATTCAGTTGTGAATTCATATTGATACCTGGAACTCTCCTGCTAGACCACCTCTAAAGGCCCAGGGTTCTTGGTCTCCAATTAAGAACTGTGCTGAAGAATGACTACGACACCCTGTTGAGATCAGATCCAAGCGGAGAATGTTACGAGAAAGGGGATTTCCTGGGGTCTCAAATGTCCAACAAACTAGCAAACACTTCGTGGAAATAGCTCTCTAACAATAATATTCCAGGGTTTCAGGGTAAGGCTGTGATAATAATTATATGTTTTAATTCATAATGACATTTCATAACTGATGTCCCTTTTCTGGTTATTTAAAATAACTTTTAACGGTTCTCTAATTATTGAAAGTAAATCCCAAACTTGTGTGGGTCAACTTTATATATTCTTTAGGTATAGCTATATAAAGCCAAGCCAGCTGCTTGCTCCATTATGAAATTATAGTCACTATAAACTTAAATGAGACGGTTACGACATTTTATTATCACAGCCCATATAGGAATTAAACCTGTCTGAAGTCACATTGTACATTTTAAGGAAGGGTACAGGAAAGGGAAAAGGGAAAGGATAATCTTGTCAGAAAACTAAGGTCAGCAGAATAAATAAAAGAAATTGTTATTAAGTTGACAAAATGAAACACAATGGTTTTTATGTCAGCAAGGACAATCCAAACTCAGACTTGGTGAGGTATAACACCAGTCTGGTATATTTTGAGAACTAGAAGGGCCAGTTACGCTCCTAATTTGTCAGAACCAAAACATACTTTTCTTGAAAGTATGACAGTATCTCTGATTACTCCAATCAGCATTATCTTTGCAATGCATGAAACACATGCATGCAAACAGTAGATTTTTAGGTCCCGAAGTCATTATTTAAGGTCACACTGAGTCATTATTTAACTTCATGGGTAATAAAGCTAGCTAACAATGAAAAGATCATAAAAGGCAAGTAAGTATTTGGAAAACAAATCTTTATCACCCACTTAGTCTTCTGACAAGATATTAGCAGCGCAATATAGTTCTTTTCCATTGGAAGACAGCATTCTAACTCCTGTTCAAGTTAACAGTCTCATCAGTTTAAGATATATAGTGTGCTAGTCAGACAGTCCCAAAGCAAATCAAATTTTTCTTGACAATTCAAGCCCATTAAGAGATTATATCTGGGTTTGTCATGTTTTAAGGGGTAGGGTTTTGTTTTCAATACACAAAATGTTAATATTTGTAAAATAAATATGAAATAGGGTCAAAATTTGTAGACTATAATGAAGAGAACTTGCCCCATTCCATAACTCAGTGTGATTTACACTGTAGGAAAAAAACTATACTTCTCAAACTTTAAGATCAGCCAATTTTCCCTACCCCCTACTTTGAGACTACAACATAACTAGCACTTCCAACTATTACAATAAGAAAGCTGCATGTACGAAGAGCTGTGTAAATGAAAACATCGTTAATGCCTGAGTCGCTGCGCAAACGTGACTTCAGTTCATGCCTACAACCCTTAATTCTACCTGAGCTACCTCACAGATAGAACCTTTCAATTTAAACTAATTAATCATGACGCGCTGTGAACATCTGCCGCTGTCCATCCAATAGTAGTAGACACTTGTGCTGAAGATTCTCCCATCTGTACACAATGGGGAAGAAGATAATAGAAGTTATTAGTAATCAAAAGTACTGCATAGCCACATTCTTTAAAGGACTGAATGCCAGCTGGACTGGAAAGAAAAGGAAAACAAAGAGTTCTTTAATCTTAGTCCTCTGGAATCACTAGAGAACTATAAAGATACCCTTCCTGTTGTGAGCATTTGTAGAGCTATGTGGATGCCAAGTGATTATACAAAACTACAATGTTCTGACCTTTCGTGTACAACACTCTGTACAAACTGGGAAAATTGCATAGCCTGAGAGACAATACTGTAATGTAGATAATCACAAACTTAACATTTAGCAACTCATGAATTTGAGTATCAAACACTGTAAGTGACAAATTATTCTCAAATTCAATAATCCAGCTTTCAAGGCCTTTGAGTATGGCTCAAATGGTAGAGTACTTGCTTAAACAGGCACAAGGCCCTGGGCTCAATTCTCAATATGCTCCCCTCACACCAGATTTCAGGTTCAAAATTCTAGGGTCTTGGAAATTTAAGATGTAAATCCTTATAAAGATTGTTTATCAAAGGAGGGGTTAACAATGCTCGATAGGAAATGGACTTATTACCTTGCTCATGTAACTGTAACCCTTCTGTACAGTATCTTTACAATAAAAAATATATATTAAAAATTTTTTTAAAGATTGTTTATGACAGGGCACTGGTAACTCACAAATAATCCTAGCTACTCAGGAGGCTGAGATATGATAATCATTGTTTAAAGACAACCTGGGTAGACAAAGTAAGAGGATACTCTTATTTCCAATTAACCAGCAAAAAGCTGGAATTGGAGGTATGGTTCAAGTGGTAAGAGCACCAGCTGTGAATTAAAAAGCAAAACAAAAGTCCAGGCCTCCAGTTAAAGCCCCAGTACTAGCACATACAAACAAAAAAGATTACTTATAATCCCCTGGCCAAAGGCCTAAAAGGTAGACACTATCATCTAGCCACCAACAAAGGTTTTTCCTGAGCCTTGAAGCAATTATATCCCCCCTACGAAAGGGGTCCTAGAACCTCCTAACAAAAGGGTTTAAATCTACCTGTTGTCTTATACAGAAACCCAAAGGAAGTTCTTCCAATAATTTCAAATCAACAGAGAACTCTTTTAGCAGCCAATTTAGATCTACCACAAAAAAAGGTGTTTTGGGTTTTTGTTTTTTAAGTATTTAAGAGCCCAAAAGTACATGGGCAGATAATGAGATGCCTCATTACTACTCCTTACTAGTTTAAGCTCATGGTGTTTCATACCATGTACTTCACAACTAAGACCATGAATTAATCATGGTATTTGTCACTACTATGAAAACTATGACATTTCTATCAGCTTTGCTGCCTGCTGTGTGCTATATGTAAGTCCATTACATATTCCTTATAGCTGGATTGAAAACCTGGAAATAAAATGAGATCCCTGTAAAACTTGGCCATGCTGGTGCTTTTTACCAATTTCCAGAAAAAAAAATCAGTTTTCAAAAGTCCAGTGAATAAAGCAGAGTTTTAGGGGACTTTAATTTCCATCCCTTGCTACAACCAATTACTTGGTAAAGAAATAAAGAAAAAGCCATGTGAAGTAATACTGACTAGCACCAGAATAGCCTTCCACTAAAGCTCGCATGCGCACAGGGCTGGGAGGAGAGCATCCTCTTGCCAGGCCCCTTGGGTCATTTCAGCAGTTGTTCTATTAAACATAGCATTAATGTTAACAAGACACAGCAAGCAGCAGAAGCATATAACATCACAGTTCATAGAGTCTCATCTCCAAATCAGATAAAAGTAGTATACAAGGTTCCATCCAGGAAGCATTCAGTCAGAGCAAGTTAAAGTCAGTACTTTCTAACATGTTTTCAAGGTATTTATGCTGAATTAGCCCAAGGGAGAAAAATCAATGTGTTTAAATTACCAAGACTTGAATCTCAAGTCTTCAACAATGACTATCTTTGAAAGAAACCTAGGCAAAGAACTGAAAAAGACTTCAAAATTTGCCAATTCCCTAAAATGGTTTTCTCCCTGTGGGATAATTTCTTTTAAAGGATAAATATATATTGGAAGAGATTATTCCTGGTACACCTACCTAACCACTGTACAAAAGACTTCACCATAGACATTATACTCTTGATATCCCAAACATAGGAATACATGTCATAAAGGATTGTCCTGTTGGCACAATTGGAGAGCCGAGTGAACATCCCCATCACTAGTCCACACATCTCCTCAAACTTCGCTGCTCGTGACCGCCATTCTTCAATCTATTGAGGATAAGACAAAAAATTGTAAGCTAACAGTTATAAATTAAGCTGTTTTATCAGGTATTCTGAACACTAATGAACCAGTAGCTTAAAACACTGATTAAGAAATTAATATTGTATCTTCAAACTGACAAATATGCCTAAAATAATATTAGCTGTATTTCAATCCTAATTACAGTCAACTGACCAGATACATTAGGGCCTAATCTTATCCACTTTAAAGTACATATTCTGAGTTCAAACCCAGAATATATTGAAGATAGGCTGGCTGACTGGTGGCTCACATCTATAATCCTAGCTACTTAGGAGGCCAAGAGCTGAGGATCATGGTACAAAGCCAGCATGAGCATAAAAGTATGTGAGTCTCTCCTTATCAATTATCCAAAAAGACAGCTATGGCTCAAGTGGAAGAGTACTATCCTTGAACAAACAAGCTTAAGGGCAGTGCCCAAGCCCTAAGTACATGAGTTCAAGTCCCAGGACCAATACACACATACATATACAAAAAGAACATATTCTAAAATATGTTCAACTTTGCACTAATTTCCACTGTTCTACTTATTATTATAGGCTCAGGCCTAAAATCCCAGGTACTTGGGAGGCAGAGATTAGAGAAAATGACAGTTTGACTCTAGCCCAGGCAAAAAGTTAGTGAGACTCTCATCTCAACAAACAAGACACACATGATAGTATAAGAGGCTGGGCACCAGTGGCTCACCGCTTTAATCTAGCTACTTAGAAGGGTAACATATGAGGATCTTGGTTCGAAGCCAGTCTGGGCAGGAAAGCCTGTGAGGCACTTATCTCTAATGAATCACAGAAATAGCCAGAAGGGGCACGGTGCTCAAGTGATAAAGTGGTAGAGTATTAGCCTTAAGCAAAGAGGAGCTCAGGGACAATGTCTAGGCCCAGAGTTGGAGCCTCAAGACTGGCGAGAGAGAGAGAGAGAGAAGGGGGGAGGGCGGGAGGGAAGGAGGGAGAGAGAAAGAGAGAGAGAGAGAAAGAGAGAGAGAGAGACAGAGAGAGAGAGAGAGGATGGTGGCTCAAGTAGTAGAGCACTTGCAAGGCACTGAGTTCAAAAACCCAGTACTGCCAAAAACAACAACAAAAATAACACCTTTCCTTATAGTAGCAAAGGAAACCATCCAGGATAAACAAGTCTGGTAAAACTGGATGCAATGTATAATCCTAGCACTTGGGAGACAGAGAGAAGAGGATGGGAAGTTCTAGATCAGCTTGAGCTACAGGTAACATCTTTGTATCAAATAAATAAATTAGGGGCTGGGAATGTGGCCCAGTGGTAGAGTTCTTGCCTAGCATGCATGAAGCCCTGGGTTCAATTCCTCAGTACCACATAAACAGAAAAAGCCAGAAGTTGCACTGTAGCTCAAGTAGTAGAGTGTTAGCCTTGAGCAAAAAAAGCTCAGGGAAAGCTGGGCGCCGGTAGCTCACGCCTGTAATCCTAGCTACTCAGGAGGCTGAGATCTGAGAATCGCGGTTCAAAGCCAGCCCGGGCAGGAAAGACCATGAGACTCCTATCTCCAATAAACCACTAGAAAACCGGAAGTGGTGCTGTAGCTCAAGTGGTAGAGCGCTCGCCTTGAGCTGAAGAGCTGAGGGACAGCGCCCAGGCCCAGAGTTCAAGCCCCATGACCGACCAAAAAAAAAAAAAGCTCAGGGATAGTGCCCAGGCCCTGAGTTCAAGCCCTAGAACTGGCAAAAAATAAATAAATAAAATAAAACAAAAATCAAATAAAGCATACTTACTTTTTCAGAGTCTTTTCCTTTGCAATTGACACTAACAACACTGCTATTTGCTCGAAGCCACTGGAATTCCCGTAGCATCTGTGCTCCTTTGGGTCCATGCTCATAGGGAAGATAGAACAAATCAGCAAGTAACTGCAAATCCTCTAGAGTCACTGGTTCTGCAGTATACAAAGGCTTTTCATTGGGCCCTGGTACAAACTGTTCCTTGTTTGTTTGCTCATCTGTCTGCATAGGTGCAATATCACTAATGCAATCTTCTTGCATAGACATCTCTGGGGATTTTGATTCAGCTATACTCTCCTTATCAGTGTCCATTGGTTTCAATTCCTCTGCCATTTTAGCTTCAACAATTTCAGTTAGTATTTGATTGTCATTCTTTTGGTCTGCTTCTTCCTGTTTTTCTACTACCATGTCCATAGGTTCTTCATCAAGCTGTTTCTTTTCTTCTTCCTTGGTGAGAGCTGTAGGCTCACCACTCAAAGCTGCTCCCTGGCTCATAATGGGCTCCTGGTAAACAGTGGTAACCACAGTTGTGGCATTTAAAGATGGTGCTGCAACCAAGGGAGTGCCATCAACTACACTTGCTTTAGCTCCACTGTGTGCAACTTGCCTACCTAGAAAATAAGCAGAAAAAGAACAAAGTAGACTCAGAGATACACTTTTCTTGGGGTCAAATCTGTATCCAGAACCTCAATTTGAGATTCTAAATACTTTGGGATCTGAGAAAAGTGAAATTTCACTAAACCACCAAGGAGATAGGGATGAAGGAAGGTGTTTGTGTGTGGTAACAGGTAACCTTTTAAACATGCTATTTGCCAGATCTATAGTTAAAAATGATTTTTATTAATTACCATTTCATCAAGATAAAAGCTATTTAAAACCAAAAGTCCGATTTCAAAGACCGTAGGCTCAAGTAGTAAAACATCTGCCCCAAAACGTGAGCCCCAAACTCCACTACCACCAAACAAAAAGAAAACACACCTGACTCTCAAATGAAGTTGAGCTGCCTAACAGTGCAAACCTCAGTGCCGCCAAAGCAAAAAAAGCCCTAATTTATTAATCGTTATTTTTTTTGTCAGTTGTGGGCTTGAAATCAGGGTGCTGTCCCTCTTCTGCTCAAGGCTACTGCTCTACCAACTTTAAGCCACACCCTCAACTCTGGTTTTCTGGTGGTTAATTCTCCAAGAGTCTCACAGACTTTCTTGTCCAGGCTAGCTATAGGATTACAGGCCTGAGCCACTAGCATCAAGCCAGACCTAGTTTATTCTAATTTTACTTTGCTTAAGTATAAGAGCTTAGCTGGGCCCTGGTGGCTCACACCTGTAATCCTAGCTAGGGAGGCTGAGATATGGAGAAAAGCCATTTTAAGGCCAGCCTAAACAGAAAGTCCTTGAGACTCCATCTCCAAAAATAACCAACAAAAAGCAAAGCTGGAAGTGTGGCTCAAGTGGCAAAATGACAGCTGAGCAAGCAAGCCAGGCAAGGTATGAGTCAATACTGGCTCCTGTGCCAAAAAAAAAACGTAAGGGCTTAAGGTAAAATATGACAACATTCTTTACACGACTCCACCATGCAATCCAACCCCTTATAAAGACAGTCAAACTCACTGCTATACTGGTGAGGTACACCAAAGTCCTGCAACCATTCTGTCAGGGCTAGCTTGAGAGCCATCTGTGGACTATAGAGGACATCAGTTTCAATATCTTCATCACTGCCTTCATTTTCCAACTTTATCTGGATTGATACAGTACTATCTTCACTATCAGCTGAAAGAAAAA